CGGATTCGGGGCCGTCCATTCCATCCCCCAGCACTTCCGAGCCAACCCCTATGGAGCTTGGGGGTGCTGGTGCTAGGGAGACCAGGAGGGGCAGTATTCGATCATCCCCCAGAGGGTAACGCGGTGGGTGAGCGTCTATTCCACCTTAGACAGGGGAGGAGGAGCACGCACGAGTTCGCGCTGGACTTCCGGACGCTAGCAGCCAACACGGGATGGAATGAGAGGGCCCTCATCGACCACTACAGATGCAGCCTGCGGGAGGACGTGCGTCGAGAATTAGCCTGCAGGGACACCAAACTCAGCTTTGACCAACTGGTGGACATGTCGATTCGCCTGGATACCCTGTTGGCTACCCGCGGACGTCCGGATTCGGGGCCGTCCATTCCATCCCCCAGCACTTCCGAGCCGACCCCTATGGAGCTCGGGGATGCTGGTGCTAGGGAGACCAGGAGGGAGACCAGGAGGGAGGCTGTCCCCTGCACCAACTGTGGCCGCAGAGGACACACTGCTGGTCGTTGCTGGGGAGGGTCTCCTAGGAATTGAGGCAGTGGACGACGCACTGATGAGTCATTCCAGGTGAGTAGGCACCCAACTCACCCAGAGCTCTCTGCTGATCATGTGTATTAAAGTGGTGTTTCCCGAGGTTTCTCCTCACTCCCAGCATAAGGCGCTAGTAGATTCAGGCGCAGCTGGGAATTTCATTGATCGCCAGCTTACCTATAAGTTAGGGATTTCTATTGTACCTGTTGATGTGCCCTTCCCCATTCATGCCCTAGATAGCCGCCCGTTGGGGTCTAGGTTGATCAGGGAGGTCACGGCGCCTCTCCGGATGAAAACGCAGGAGGGTCATGAGGAGATAGTACGTTTGTATTTGATTGATTCTCCTGCGTTTCCCGTGGTGTTGGGGCTTCCCTGGTTAACAGCTCATGACCCCAACATTTCATGGCAGCAGAGAGCTCTCCAGGGATGGTCTGATCAGTGTACTGGGCGGTGTGTAGGTGTTTCCGTAGGGGCAACGACGGTGGAAAGCCCGAACCAAGTTCCCACCTTGCACATTCCACCTGAGTATGCCGATTTGGCTCTCGCCTTCAGTAAGAAGAAGGCGACTCAATTACCACCTCATCGACAGGGGGATTGTGCGATAGACCTCCAGGTAGTCACGTGTACCCTCTGTCTCAGGAGGAGACGGCCGCTATGGAAACCTACGTCACCGAATCTTTGAGACAGGGTTACATACGGCCGTCTACTTCCCCTGCTTCCTCGAGTTTCTTTATTGTGAAGAAGAAGGATGGGGGTTTATGCCCGTGTATTGATTACCGTGGTCTAAATCAGATCACCATCAAATACAGCTATCCGCTCCCTTTGATTGCTAGTATGACGGAGTCATTACACGGGGCGCGATTCTTCACAAAATTGGATCTCAGGAGCGCGTACAACCTGGTGCACATTAGGGAGGGAGATGAGTGGAAGACAGCATTCAGTACCACCTCGGGTCACTATGAGTACCTCGTCATGCCATACGGGTTAATGAATGCTCCTTCAGTCTTCCAATCATTTGTGGACGAGATTTTCCGGGACTTGCATGGACAGGGTGTTGTGGTATATATTGATGACATTCTAATATATTCCGCTACACGAGTCGAGCATGTGTCCCTGGTGCGGCGAGTGCTTGGTAGACTGTTGGAGCATGACCTGTATGCGAAGGCGGAGAAATGTCTGTTCTTCCAGGAGTCCATCTCCTTCCTGGGACATCGGTTGTCCGCGTCAGGGATAGAGATGGAGATTGACTGCGTTTCTGCCGTGCGTAATTGGCAGACTCCCACCACGGTAAGGAGGTTTATCCGGGGCTTTGGACAGGTAGCAGCTCCCATTACCTCTCTGCTAAAGGGGGGTCCGGTGCGCCTGCAGTGGTCAGCTGAGGCGGATAAGGCGTTTAAACGTCTGAAGGACCTGTTTACCTCGGCTCCGGTGCTGGCGCATCTGGATCCCTCTTTGGCATTCCAGGTGGAGGTGGACGCTTCCGAGGCTGGGGTCGGCGCTGTGCTGTCTCAGCTCTCGGGTACGCCACCTAAACTCCGCCCCTGTGCTTTCTATTCTAAGAAGCTCAGTCCGGCGGAGCGCAATTATGACGTGGGGGATAGGGAGCTGCTGGCTGTGGTTCAAGCCCTGAAGGTGTGGAGACATTGGCTTGAGGGGGCTAAACACCATTTTCTCATTCTGACTGACCATCGTAACCTGGAGTACATCCGGGCAGCGAGGAGGCTGAATCCTCGCCAGGCAAGGTGGTCAATGTTTCTTTCCCGCTTTGTCTTTAAGCTCACCTATATACCAGGGTCCCAGAACGCTAAGGCAGACGCCCTGTCCCGACTATATGACATAGGAGAGGCCCATTGAGCCCACTCCCATACTCCCGGAGTCTTGTTTAGTGGCACTGGTGGTGTGGGAGGTGGATGCGGAAATCGAGCGGGCGTTACGTTCCAACCCTACTCCTCCACAGTGTCCAGAGGGTCGGAGGTATGTGCCGCTCGAGGTTCGCGACCAGTTGATATACTGGGCTCACACGTCACCCTCCTCTGGTCATCCTGGTATTGGTCGGACAGTGCACTGCCTTAGTGATAAGTACTGGTGGCCAACCTTAGCCAAGGACGTGAGGGTTTATGTCTCCTCCTGCTCGGTGTGCGCCCAGTGTAAGGCACCTAGACAACTGCCCAGGGGGAAGTTACAACCCCTACCCGTTCCAAAACGGCCGTGGTCTCACCTATCGGTGGATTTTGTCACGGACCTTCCCCCCTCCCAGGGGAACACTACGATCTTGGTTGTTGTGGATCAGTTTTCTAAAGCCTGCCGTCTCATTCCCCTGCCAGGTCTCCCTACTGCCCTACAAACTGCTGAGGCCCTGTTTACACACATCTTCCGGCACTATGGGGTGCCTGAAGATATAGTGTCTGATCGGGGTCCCCAGTTCACCTCTAGAGTCTGGAGGTCATTTATGGAATGTCTGGGGGTCTCGATTAGCCTTACCTCAGGTTTTCACCCCGAAAGTAATGGGCAGGTGGAGAGAGTTAACCAGGATGTGGGTAGGTTTCTGAGGTCATATTGCCAGGACCGGCAAGAGGAGTGGTCGGGATACATTCCCTGGGCAGAGATAGCCCAAAACTCCCTCCGCCATTCGTCCACTAACCTGACGCCTTTCCAGTGTGTGTTAGGTTATCAGCCGGTTCTGACACCTTGGCATCAGAGCCAGACCGAAGCCCCTGCGGTGGACGAGTGGTTTCGGCGCTCGGAGGAAACTTGGAACGCTGCGCATGTCCATCTGCAACGTGCCATCAGGCGGCAAAAGGCGAGTGCCGATCGCCACCGCATTGAGGCTCCGGTGTACGCACCAGGAGACCGGGTCTGGCTCTCGACCCGAAACCTGCCCCTTCGCCTTCCCTGCCGGAAGCTGGGTCGGCGGTTTGTGGGGCCCTTTAAAGTCCTGAGGAGATTGAACGAGGTATGTTATAGGTTACAACTGCCCAGGTATTATCGCATTAACCCCTCGTTCCATGTGTCTCTCCTCAGGCCGGTGGTGGCTGGTCCACTCCAGGAGAATGAGGTACGAGAGGCTCCTCCGCCCCCGTTGGACATCGAGGGGGCTCCGGCGTACTCAGTCCGTTCCATCTTGGATTCGAGGCGTCGGACGGGGGGCCTGCAGTATCTCGTGGAGTGGGAGGGGTACGGTCCGGAGGAACGGTGCTGGGTCCCCAGGAGGGACATTCTAGATCCCTCCATGTTGAGGGACTTCCACCGGAGTCATCCGACTCGCCCTGCTCCGCGTCCTCCTGGCCATCCCCGAGGCCGGGGTCGGCGCACGGCTGGTTCCGCGCGTCAAGGGGGGGGGGGGGTACTGTCACGGAATCAGCCGAGGCTGCTCCTCCTCCTTGCTCGGGCAGGTTTCGGCGTTCGTCGTCCCCGGAGTACTAGCTGCAACCGATCTATGTTTCGGTGTTTGACTTGTTTTGTCCTGATTGTGTACACCTGTTCCCCATTATGTTGTATTGTTTCCCCTATTTAACCCTCTGTCGTGCATAGTGTGTTGTGTGTTATTGTATTCGTCTTCGACAGTGCTAGTGTGCGGGTTGTTTTACTCCTTGTATGTATAGTAATAAATGATGTATCATTAAGGCAAAATGTTGGGAAATGTCAAAAGTAAAATATAGTAAACATGATTGACATTCTATAATCCAGATGTATGTTTAAATAAGCAATATAGCCAATACAGTGTGTAACCATGCCTTAATGTATGTATGTGTATTATTTTTGAGAAAGGGTCTGCCACCAATATAATGAGATAAGAGGAAGAGGTCATATGGAAAAGTTCACATAGCCTTTTTGGAGAAAAACAACATGTGACATCTAGACGTTGAAAGATAAGGGTGCCGTGGCCATGAAAGAAGTTAATCAATTACCCTAAGGGTAGTAACTGTGTATGATATGTAAGGATGACTATGCACTTGTATTTGTATAAAAGGAGATCTTTGAGCCAAGGAGAGCCAGTTGTTGCTCCATGGAGCAAAGCTCAGGCTTTGCTATGCAATAAAGTCTAATTCTTGAATACACAAGCTCCGGTGTCTTGAGAGATATTTTTGAGTTGATTATCTAGTCAAATATTTCCACGACATATGGAGATGGTTTTCTGCTCTGGTTACTTCAAGTAAAGTACGTTTCCAGTAAGCTCTGTGTCCTGCGTTTGACTTTGCCTACCGCATTTCACCGTCGCCTTCTGACACTTAATGATACATTAAATATTACCATAATACCCACGCAGGGCAAAAGCGTTCATGTATGCTGGGTGTGTGTGTGTTTATGGCTGTAGGTATGTGTGTGTTTATGGATGTAGTTGGTGTGTGTGTGTTTGCACACCAGGGTGTACTGTATGTTCACAGATCCATGGATAGTGTGGTTGGGGTTGAGAAGTTGCTGGAGAAAATGTCCCTCATGAATCATTATTCTGGTCACAGGGTTCTACACACCTTCCTCATGTCTTCATCAATTTCACCTCATGACCAACTCTATGACCCGGACTGACGCCCAGAGTTACTGCAGAGCACAGTACACTGACCTGGCCACAGTAGATGACATGGAGGACCTGAACAGGCTGTTTACTACTCTCAGTTATTTGAATTCCTGGCATTGGATTGGACTGAAGAAAGGAGACTCCATGAAGTGGCAGTGGTCTCTGGCAGACAGACGTTTCTACAGAGAGGGGGAGACTGAGTTTAGAAACTGGGACACTGGGACGCCCACAAATGGCAACTGTGCTTTTATGAGTACAGCTGGGATGTGGAACAACGCCTCCTGTGATTACCAGCATCACTTCATCTGTTATGATGGTGAATGTTTAATTTGACTAATGATGTAGCCTGTTCTAAGTGCCAGGGCTGTCATTGAGTTGAAACATAGACTCATGATGGCTTTAAGTTGTTAATCAGTTATCAAATCAATGAGAACATGTACAATAGATGATCAGTAGATTATATTCTATTGGATTTTTGTATTGATTATTACATTTGACTTTTACAGGAAAACAAGACACCAAACTAACATACGTCTTAATTAAGGAGTACAAGACCTGGATAGATGCTCAGAGTTACTGCAGACAGTATCACACAGACCTGGTCAGTGTGAGGAACCAGACTGAGAACAAAGAGATAGTTCAGAAGATATCACTGTGGGGACTGCCTGTGTGGATCGGTCTGTTTCAAGACTACTGGAGATGGTCTGACCAGAGTGACTCCTCATTCAGGAACTGGCTAACAGGATGGCCTTCAACAGATCAGAGTTACAACTGCACTCTGATGAATTTATATACTTATTATGATGATTATTATTATTATAATACTAAATGGATAAATCATCCCTGTGTCCTCTCCTATCCTTTCATCTGCTATGGTAAGTTACCATATTCTCCACCTGATCTACCTGATATTATGATGACAGGAGAACTCTAATGTTGCCCCCATTATTCACTACTGTCACTGTGGGAATTTATTATGTTGTAGGCCCAGCTGTGGAGACCCCTGAGAAACCTCAACTGAATAGACAGGTGGTGAGAGTGAAGATGACTCCAAAGGATCCAAATCTGAACCTCAGCGATCCTGCAGTTCAGGACGACATCTTACAAGAGGTGGGTTTCACCCTGTTCATGAAGAACAAACTCAGTAATGATACAAACTGTACAGACCTCCTCTCCTGGTCTGGGTCCTAGTCTGTTGTGGATGACCTCCTCTCTGGTCTGGGTCCTAGTCTGTTGTGGATGACCTCCTCTCTGGTCTCATACTTGTCTGTTGTGGATGACCTCCTCTCTGGTCTGGGTCCTAGTCTGTTGTGGATGACCTCCTCTCTGGTCTGGCTCCTAGTCTGTTGTGGATGACCTCCTCTCTAGTCTGGGTCCTGGTCTGTTGTGGATGACCTCCTCTCTGGTCTGGGTCCTAGTCTGTTGTGGATGACCTCCTCTCTGGTCTGGGTCCTAGTCCATTGTGGATGACCTCCTCTCTGGCCGTGACCCCACTCTCTGTGGGTGTTTCAGGGAGAATGGATTGCGCAAAAAACACATTTCCAATTCACACATGCATATTAAAAGACAAGTGTACATGTGTTAAATAGGACAAATATAAGCATCATCTCCCCATAGAGTCAAAGGGTTGAAGTATAGAACGTGTCAGTATAGCAGGAAGGAATGGTAGTTGGAGATCTTCAGAAAGACTATTACAGAATAATATAGTCTCTTTCTGTCTGTGTGTGTGTGTGTGTGTGTGTGTGTGTGTGTGTGTGTGTGTGTATGTGTGTGTGTGTGTCTGTGTGTGTGTGTGTGTGTGTGTGTGTGTGTGTGTGTGTGTGTGTGTGTGTGTGTGTGTGTGTGTTTCTCCAGATAAGGAACAAGCTGAAGGAGCAGGGGTTACCTGCAGACACCAAACTGACATGGAAAAAGCAGCCCGATGGGAAGGTCTTCAACAAGGAGAAAGAGGGGTCTCCCAAGAAAGAAGAGGAGGAGGAGAAGAAGAGGAAGAAGAGGAAGAAGAGGATGATGACAAAGAGAGAACTCTAATTATATCAAATGTTCTCCTGACATTTCTCTTTTTATTTACATTCATTATTTGTGCTCTACTCAGCCTAACTAAATGTTTTTCATTAAGTAAATGTTTTAATTATAAACATGAATAGTGTTTTATCATTAGATTTTTTTCTTGAGAGTTTTATTACAGGGGTGTGTTCTCAAGATAGACATTGAATACATCATGTCTGTAAATTAGTTATCTGTAGTTATGTTAATATACAGTGCTGTAAAAAAAATATTTGCCCCCTTTCAAATTTTCGCAACTTTTGCATATTTTCTTATTGAATGTTATCAGATCTTCAAAGAAAACTGAATATTAGATAAAGGGAACCTGAGTGAACAAATAACACAACATTTACATACTTATTTCATAAACAAAGTTATGTAAGACCCAGTGTCCATGTTTGAAAAAGTAATTAACCCCTTACACTCAATAACTGGTTGTGCCACCTTTAGCTGCAATGACTCCAACCAAACGCTTCATGTAGTTGATCAGTCTCTCATGTCACTGTGGAGGAATTCTGGGCCACTCTTCCACTCAGAACTGCTTTAACCTCTTAAGGCCCAAGCTGTTTTTTTACATGCATTTTTTAATTCTCTTTGCTATTTGGGCTTATTGGAACCTAATTAGAATAAAAACTAAGTATCATCTTTTGATATGATGCACTTTTAGAGAAAAATGATGTCCACATATGTGGATTCATGGTCCGAATTGCATTAGGCTAACATTTTCAACACAACTAATTTAAGTATGTATGTATGTATTTAGTGATTTAATTGTTATTTATTTCATTGGGACCATGTACAGCTTTTTAGCTGCATCAGAGCTAGCTTTTTTCCCATTTTACGTGTGTGCATGTTTACAAGCATATTAGCTGTTTCGAGGAGCCTCAGTCCATAAGTACACTTACGTGTACTTCATGTTTAGCGACCTACAAAGTTGCTAGTTTTACACTTTTTTTTCTTCAAATTTGCATGTCATGACAAATATACAAGGCTTTTATAAATATCTAAATCAGAATAAGCCATGAAATATGACAGAACTTCTACACAATTGTGGACATAAGAGCTAAAAAGTGCTGTCCACGTATGTGACCACTAAGCCCTAGGAGGTTAATTTAACGATATTTGTGGGTTTTCAAGTATGAACTGCTCGTTTCAAGTCCTGCCACAACATCTCAATTGGGATTAGGTCTGGACTTTGACTAGGCCATTCCAAAACTTCAAATGTGTTGCTTTTCAACCATCTTCATTTAGACTTGTGTGTTTTGGATCATTGCCTTGCTGCATGACCCAGCTGCGCTTCAGCTTCAGCTCACAGACTGATGGCCTGACATTCTCCTATAGAAATAACACATATGGAATCATGTAGTGACCAAAAAAGTGTTAAACAAATCAAAATATATTTTATATTTGAGGTTCTTCAAATAGCAACCCTTTACCTTGATGACAGCTTTGCACACTCCTTTGACCTGTAGTGTAGCTCTGAATGGAGTGACAGATAGTGGGATCCACTCTAGCTGCTACGTGTACACATACACTGTTGATCCAAACTTTTATTCTCAACTTCTATGACCAGCTTGCTAGCTAGCTAACTATTGAGTCAAGTTGAGAAGAACGGTTTTGATGAATATCGTATGTACATATAGCCAACTCACCATCACAGAAGAATCACATGGTATTTTGAAATGTGTAACGCTGTGCGATCCCTGAGGAAAAAGTGAACAGTAATTATGAAGCACTATGTTGCTGTACATTGTAAGAGATCTGCTGAATGGCATATTATTATTATATTATTATTATGATTATACTTATAATGCATTAGGAGTTTTGGTATATGGGATTATGAGTCTATAACATTATTAATCTATGAGTGTGCAGCGGTCTAAGGCACTGCATCTCAGTGCTAGAGGCGTCACTACAGACCCTGGTTCGATTCCAGGCTGTATCACAATCCGGCCATGATTGGGAGTCCCTTAGGGCGGCGCACAATTGGCCAGCATCGTCCGGGTTTGGCCGGGGTAGGCCGTCATTGTAAATAAGAAAGTGTTCTTAACTGACTTGCCTAGTTAAATAAAGGTTAAATAAATAAATCAATGTATAAATGTATTATCAATATGGGTTTCATAGTAAGTGTTACCGAGTATCTCTGTGCTGTCACCCATATGCTCACTGTCTCATTACAGTACACTGATCACAGCAAATCACAGCGTTAAAACAGTTCACATCCAGGTATCCCATTTTGCATCCAATACATTTTCTCTCCAGTATTTTGTCTTCACATACATTAGCCTGTGTCTGTTTTACCTGTCTCTCTGATCCTGAGTGTTCAAATAAATAGAGAGAGAGGGAGAGAGAGAGAGGGAGAGGATGAGGATGAGAGCGAGAGGGAGAGGATGAGAAACAGAGTGAGAGAAAGAAAGGGGAAGAGAGAGAAATAGACAGAAACAGAGAGAGAGAGAGAGAGAGAGAGAGAGAGAGAGAGAGAGAGACTGAGATACAGGATGAGAGACAGAGAATGGAAAGAGAGGGGAAGAGAGAAAATAGACAGAGAGAAACAGAGAGAGAGGAAGAACACCCAATGACAGAGGAGAGGGAGAGCATAGCACCCAATCACAGAGGAGAGGGAGGACCGAACACCCAATGACAGAGGAGAGAGAGTGCAGAACACCCAATGACAGAGGAGAGGGAGAGAATAGCACCCAATGACAGAGGAGAAGGAGGGCCGAACACCCAATGACAGAGGAGAGAGAGGGGAGAGTACCCAATTACATAGGAGAGGGAGGGATGAGCACCCAATGAAATAGGAGAGGGAGGGCTGAGCACCCAATGACAGAGGAGAGGGAGGGCTGAGGACCCAATGCTAGAGTAGTTCATGTTGATCTATACACTGAGTGTTCAAAACATTTGGACCACCTGCTCTTTCCATGACAGTTAATTCACCAGTCATCAGATATCAATCCAATTGATCATCTGTGGGATAAAATGGGACGAGCTAGTTGGAGTAGAGATCCACTACCAGCCAACTTGACACAACTGTGGGAATCATTGGTGTCGACTTGGGCCAGCATCCCTGTGGAACAATTTAGACACCTTGTAGATTTAATGCACTGACGAATTGAGGCTGTTCTGAGGGCAACTGAATATTAGGAAGGTGTTCCTAATGTTTTGTACACTCAGTGTATATATTTTTACCATGGCAGCCCAATAATTACCTGAATAACATTCAAATTTAGTCAACTAAAAACATTCTAGGAACCCCCAATGTAAAACCTGAGGAATTTGTCTTAAAAAACAAATTTTCAGAGAGTGAGAGCTGAGACCAGGGCCTCTGGGTTCCTGCCTGTCTCTGTGGTTTACCTCTAGTCCTGTTCCAGTCAAGTGGCTTTACCTGGGAGTGTCACTCTCAATTCAGGCCTCACTCACCTGAACAATACTTAACACCACACAACCCTTAGTTTTTAGACGTGAGGAGGTGGGTCCTTTTCTGTACAGTGAGGCCAATTCTGGGCAATATGTCTGTCTAGATGACTGGGTTATCTCCTATGGATCAAGAGTACCATCACATGCAAATGTTCTGTATAGCCTATCTAACTGTTTCCTTATCTTGCTCTGTCCAACCCCTTTTCCAGTGGGATGAATGTCAAGTGCACAGATGTATTTGTTGATAAATAACACATTCAAGGAAATTAGGAACAGTGTATGGTTTATAGGTTAAAACTGGAGAGACGGAGCGAGAGAGAACGAAAGACAGAGTTACCTTCAAGTAACAGGTGAGGCAATTTTGGATTGTATAATCATGTTGAAAATCTAGAAATGTTATTGTAGAGAAGTGTATTTATAGTTTTTTCCCCAATATTTTTTCAGATATAAGTGGTACATTTCCAAAACTCTTGGAACACAAACTCTAATTGTGTAATATCCTCTATCTTATGTTCAAAACCTTTCATTGTGTTTTCATTGTGTTTAAAGTCAGGCAGTGTGTAAATAGGAATCATGTTGCAGGTTGGAAGGTTCCAGTGTAGAATAATGAACCATGTGTTCTTACCCTTGTTGGCCCTCTGAAAATGTTATGTTGAGGTTTTTCACCCCTACCCTCTTCCAATACGTTAAAAACCTGACCTAACAATCAGTGATTGTTCATGTCTCTGAACAGGTGATAATCCTCTTTGTGGGGTGCACTATCTTCACCTGTCCTATCACGAACATATCAGTAAAGAAGGAGAAAGACAGTTTGCATTTATAAAGTTTTGTAAAAGTCTGTGTACAGTATACATTTTAATCATATAACTTTTGAATTTCACAGTGATGGAACCATTTTTGTATCTCACCCTGCTAATCTCAGGTCAGTTTAGTATGTGTGTGTGTGTGTGTGTGTGTGTGTGTGTGTGTGTGTGTGTGTGTGTGTGTGTGTGTGTGTGTGTGTGTGTGTGTGTGTGTGTGTGTGTGTGTGTGTGTGTTTGTGTCAGCAAACATGTCCACTTTGGGCTGAAGAGTCCTTGTTAATCGGCTCCCTACTGGCCCCCAAGACATTGGCCCAGAGTGGCCCAGCGTGAATCAATTGTAACATTTACGAGCCCTAAATTCTGTTAGGTGTTTTCACATATGGTCCTCTTTTAAATAACTGATCTCAGCCCTCTTTAAAGTGAACTAGGTAAAAAAAAAAGAGCTAAATAACTCAGTTCTCTTTGTATTCACACTGCCCTTGCCTTTGAATGAGGACTCAACTCTTTTGCTAGTTCACTTCAGCTATTTTGTGGAGTGAGTGCTCTTTGCATTCTCACTTCTATGTTTAGAAAGAAACCAAGATCTTTTTCCAACATTCACTCAGTGCGCTCTGGGTTTTTACAAAGTGCAGGACAAGCCATTCAATCAGAATGTGTTATCGGACAGCTAGATATACCTACTTACATTTTGGAAGCTACTATATATAAAGACATAATAATTGTAATCAGAATATAGCAATAAAATGTACAGTACATGTTAATAGTAACAGAATGAATAGCATTAGAATAACTGCAGAATAACTGCAGAATAAATCATGCTTTAATTCAAAGGGTTTCAAAGGGTTTATGGCAGGGGAAACGGTGTTGCAGTAGTCTAGTGTGTGGTGCGGGAAACGGTGTTGCAGTAGTCTAGTGTGTGGTGCGGGAAACGGTGTTGCAGTAGTCTAGTGTGTGGTGCGGGAAACGGTGTTGTAGTAGTATAGTGTGTGGTGCGGGAAACGGTGTTGTAGTAGTCTAGTGTGTGGTGCGGGAATAATGACAAGCGAACCTGGGGAGTTTTGTGTTCACATTGGCCTAAAAAAAGTGACTTTACCAGCGGAATTCAAGCGAAACGAACTCAGACCATCTCAGTTCGATTCGCTTCTGGGGCTCTTTTGAGGGGTCTGAGTTCCTTTGAAGTCCTCACACTGCACAAAAAAATTAAGCAAACCTCACTGAGTTAACAGAAATTGGCTGAAAGGGCCCAAGTGTGAAAACTACCTTATTTACAGTGAGGGAAAAAAGTATTTGATCCCCTGCTGATTTTGTACATTTTCCTACTGACAAAGACATGATCAGTCTATCAGTTTAATGGTAGGTTTATTTGAACAGTGAGAGACAGAATAACAACGAAAAAATCCAGAAAAACGCATGTCAGAAATTTTATAAATTGATTTGCATTTTAATGAGGGAAATAAGTATTTGACCGCTCTGCAAAACATGACTTAGTACTTGGTGGCAAAACCCTTGTTGGCAATCACAGAGGTCAGATGTTTATTGTAGTTGGCCACCAGGTTTGCACACATTTCAGGAGGGATTTTGTCCCACTCCTCTTTGCAGATCTTCTCCAAGTCATTAAGGTTTCGAGCCTGACGTTTGGCAACTCAAACCTTCAGCTCCCTCCACAGATTTTCTATGGGATTAAGGTCTGATTAAGACTGGCTAGGCCACTCCAGGACCTTAATGTGCTTCTTCTTGAGCCACTCCTTTGTCGCCTTGGCTGTGTGTTTTGGGTCATTGTCATGATGGAATACCCATCCACGACCCATTTTCAATGCCCTGGGTGAGGGAAGGAGGTTCTCACCCAAGATTTGACGGTACATGGCCCCGTCCATCGTCCCTTTGATGCGGTGAAGTTGTCCTGTCCTCTTAGCAGAAAAACACACCCAAAGCATAATGTTTCCACCTCCATGTTTGACGGTGGGGATGGTGTTCTTGGGGTCATAGGCAGCATTCCTCCTCCTCCAAACACGGCGAGTTGAGTTGATGCCAAAGACCTCGATTTTGGTGTCATATGACCACAACACTTTCACCCAGTTCTCCCCTGAATCATTCAGATGATCATTGGCAAACTTCAGATGGGCCTGTATATGTGCTTTCTTGATCAGGGGGACCTTGCGGGCGCTGCAGGATTTCAGTACTTCACGGCGTAGTGTGTTACCAATTGTTTTCTTGGTGACTATGGTCCCAGCTGCCTTGAGATCATTGACAAGATCATCATGTGTAGTTCTGGGCTGATTCCTCACCTCTCTCATGATCATTGCAACTCCACGAGGTGAGATCTTGCATGGAGCCCCAGGCCGAGGGAGATTGACAGTTCTTTTGTGTTTCTTTCATTTGCGAATAATCGCACCAACTGTTGTCACCTTCTCACCAAGCTGCTTGGCGATGGTCTTGTAGCCCATTCCTGCCTTGTGTAGGTCTACAATCTTGTCCCTGACATCCTTGGAGAGCTCTTTGGTCTTGGCCATGGTGGAGAGTTTGGAATCTGATTGATTGATTGCTTCTGGGGACAGGTGTCTTTTTTGCAGGTAACAAGCTGAGATTAGGAGCATTCCCTTTAAGAGTGTGCTCCTAATCTCAGCTCGTTACCTGTATAAAAGACACCTGGGATCCAGAAATCTTTCTGATTGAGAGGGGGTCAAATACTTATTTACCTCATTAAAATGCTAATAAATTTATAACATTTTTGACATGCGTTTTTTCTGGATTTTTTTGATGTTATTCTGTCTCTCACTGTTCAAATAAACATACCATTAAAATTATAGACAGATCATTTCTTTTTCAGTGTGCAAACGTACAAAATCAGCAGGGGATCAAATACTTTTTTCCCTCACTGTATCTAATGTGTTACATTACACCAGAAAGACAACAGAGCTGCTGCTGTCATTCACTAACATGTTGCTGCTGGGCTTTATGTTGGCTAGCATGTGTTGGATTGGTGTGGGCTAGCCTGTGTTGGGTTGTTGTGGGCTAGCCTGTGTTGGGTTGGTGTGGGCTAGCCTGTGTTGGGTTGGTGTGGGCTAGCCTGTGTTGGGTTGGTGTGGGCTAGCCTGTGTTGGGTTGGTGTGGGCTAGCCTGTGTTGGGTTGTTGTGGGCAAGCCTGTGTTGGGCTGGTGAGGGCTAGCCTGTGTTGGGTTGGTGTGGGCTAGCCTGTGTCGGGTTGGTGTGGGCTAGCCTGTGTTGGGTTGGTGTGGGCTAGCCTGTGTTGGGCTTGCTGTGTGCCCACCTTGCCCACTGAATACCCACGCAGGGCAAATGTGTTCATGTATGCTGGGTGTGTGTTTGTTTATGGATGTAGGTATGTGTGTGTTTATGGATGTAGTTGGTGTGTGTGTGTTTGCACACCAGGGTGTACTGTATGTTCACAGATCCATAGAAAGTGTGGTTGGGGTTGAGAAGTTGCCGGAGAATATGTCCCTCATGAATCATTATTCTGTTCACAGGGTTCTACACACCTTCCTCATGTCTTCATCAATTTCACCTCATTAACAACTCTATGAACTGGACTGACGCCCAGAGTTACTGCAGAGCACAGTACACTGACCTGGCCACAGTAGATGACATGGAGGACCTGAACAGGCTGATTACTACTCTCAATTATTACAAAAACTGGTTTTGGATCGGACTGAAGAAAGGAGACTCCATGAAGTGGCAGTGGTCTCTGGCAGACAGACGTTTCTACAGAGAGGGAGAGACTGAGTTCAGAAACTGGGACATTGGGACGCCCCAAAATGGCAACTGTGCTTTTATGAGTACAGCTGGGCTGTGGAACAACACCTCCTGTGATGACCAGCATCACTTCATCTGTTATGATGGTGAGTGTTTAATTTGACTAACGATGAAGCCTGTTCTAAGTGTCAGGGCTGTCATTGAGCTGAAACATAGACTCATGATGGCTTTAAGTTGTTAATCAGTTATCAAATCAATGAGAACATGTACAATAGATGATCAGTAGATTATTTTCATTGGATTTTCGCATTGATTATTAAATTTGACTTTTGCAGGAAAACAAAGCACCAACCTAACATACATCTTAATTCAGGAGAAAAAGACCTGGAGAGATGCTCAGAGTTACTGTAGACAGAATCACACAGACCTGGTCAGTGTGAGGAACCAGACTGAGAACACAGAGATAGATCAGAAGATATCCCTGAGGGGACTGCCTGTGTGGATCGGCCTGTTTCAAGACTACTGGAGATGGTCTGACCAGAGTAACTCCTCATTCAGGAACTGGCTGCCAGGATGGCCTTCAGTAAATCAGAGATTAAACTGCATTCTGATGTCTTTATATCCTTATTCTGATCAAACTAAATTAATAAATAAGCCCTGTGCCTACTCCTTTCCTTTCATATGCTATAGTAAGTTACCATATTCTCCACCTGATCTACCTGATATTATGATGACAGGAGAACTCTAATGTTGCCCCCATGATTCACTACTGTCACTGTGAGATTTTATTCTCTTCTAGGCCCAGCTGTGGAGACCACAACTGCCCCCCTGCCCACATCCACAACCACGACTCCCCCACCGACCACAACCCACAACCACAACTTCCCCACCGACCACACCCACAACCACGACTTCCCCACCGACCACACCCACAACAACGACTTCCCCACCGACCACACCCACAACCACGACTACCCCACCGACCACACCCACAACCACGACTTCCCCACCGACCACACCCACAACCACGACTTCCTCACCGACCACACCCACAACCACGACTTCCCCACCGACCCACACCACAACCACGACTTCCCCCACCGACCACACCCGCCAACCACGACTTCCCCCACCGACCACACCCACAACCACGACTTCCCCACCGACCACACCCACAACCACGACTTCCCCACCGACCACACCCACAACCACGACTTCCCCACCGACCACACCCACAACCACAACTTCCCCACCGACCACACCCACAACCACAACTTCCCCACAGACCACACCCACAAAAAAGACTGCCATCGAGACCAATCGCAAGAAAGCCTCTCCTACCCCTGAGAAATCTCAACTGAAGAGACAGGTGGTGAGAGTGAAGATGATCTTCAGAAAGACTATTACAGAATAATATAGTCTCTATCTGTTTGTGTGTGTGTGTGTGTGTGTGTGTGTGCGTGTGTGTGTGTGCGTGTGTGTGTGTGTGTCTGTGTGTGTGTGTGTGTGTGTGTGTGTGTGTGTGGTGTGTGTGTGTGTGTGTGTGTGTGTGTGTGTGTGTGTGGGTGGGTGTGTGTGTGTGTGTGTGTGTGTGGTGTGTGTGTGTGTGTGTGTGTGTTTCTCCAGATAAGGAACAAGCTGAAGGAGCAGGGGTTACCTGCAGACACCAAACTGACATGGAAAAAGCAGCCCGATGGGAAGGTCTTCAACAAGGAGAAAGAGGGGTCTCCCAAGAAAGAAGAGGAGGAGGAGAAGAAGATGAAGAAGAGGAAGAAGAGGATGATGACAAAGAGAGAACTCTAATTATATCACATGTTCTCCTGACATTTCTCTTTCATTTACATTCATTATCTGTACTGGTCTAGATTTTCTCAGATAAACTAAAACAGGTCTTTATCTGAGATACACACATTTTTTAAAATCATATATTACTATTGTTTTAAGATAGGGTGTGATCTGTAGTCACGAAATAGTCAATCTTCAGAATGCTGGGTCTGGAGAAATGTAATCACTCTCAAATGTATACAGAGCTATGGATGCAAGGACTGACATGACAGTTTTAACCATGTGTTGAGGGTATATTGTTTATTTACAATTGCATTGTTTACAAACAATGGAGCAAAACTAGCTTATATATGGAGTTCTGATGGAGTACGACAGTTGAACTGAGCTCCCGAGGCATTTATAAGTTACATCCTTCAAGAATCAATGGAACATTCATTTAAAAGTGAACAAAATGTATTTAGCAATTGCAGATTGCCCCTTTAACATTATACATTTTTTGTATGTCTTTCTTAGATATATTCCACATAGTATGTTTATGTTCATATATTTTCTCAACTTTATTGAAACAGCTCTTTATCTGAGATACAGTAAATTGTTTTATCATATAATAATATTGTTTTATCATATATTAATATTGTTTTATCAAATACTAATATTGTTTTATCATATATTAATATTGTTTTATCATATATTAATATTGTTTTATCAAATACTAATATTGTTTTATCATATATTCATATTGTTTTATCATGTATACATATTGTTTTATCATGTATTAATATTGTTTCATCATGTATTAATATTGTTTTATAATGCATGAATATAGTTTTATCATAGGATGTGATCTTAAGTTCCAAATCTTTAACATCATTCATTGTTTGAATCTCTTTTGTTTGTTTATATATTAGAACATAGTTTTTCTAAAACTGTAAACGTGATGGCACATCTGGAATGTTAACAAAATAAAATGATGTGTGATAGTGAGATGCTATTTTTCCTCAATCATTATAGACAGTATTCAGACTTGAGATCCGCTCACTGGAATTTCTGTGCATTGACATCAATGAATGAAAGTCCCAGTTGCAAGCACAGATCTCACGTCAGATTACAATCCTAATGGCTCTGTCTTTCTTTACTCGAATGTTCATTTAGATTTCAATAAATAATCACTCATTTATCAACAAGGTTTTACATTAATTTGATTTTTTCTGACAAAATAAAAGTTTGTTGAAAATGTAAAATTGGAAAAGCTTGCAATTTTATTTTTTGCCTATTTAATTTGTTTTACATTTATTGAAAGCATTAACTTCCCTCAATGTACTCTGTACATTTCTTGACGCTTGGACAAAGAACATTTATAAAAAAATAGCTTCTGAAGTTTCATAATTGTATGTTCGTTAATGGAAAAATATGGCAATTTCCTGAAAAGTTGTGTTCATCAGACAGCAACGATATGTTTGTAAGCCATCATGACTCATGACAACCACTAAACAGGTGTCAGTTTAACCATTACCTGCTGACCAGTGGTTTCCATTTGGAGAAGAGGGAAGGAACAAGGGGAGGAACAAACTCCTAATTTTACATTTTAGTCATTTTAGCAGTCACTCTTATCCAGAGCAAGTAGGGTTAAGTGCCTTGCTCAAGGGCACATTGACAGATTTTTCACCTAGTCGGCTCGGGGATTAGCAGCAGCGACCTTTCGGTTACTGGCACAACGCTCTTAACCACTAAGCTACCTGCAGACCTAATGACAGAGGAGAGAGAGGGCAGAACATCCAATGACAGAGGAAAGGGAGGGCAGAACATCCAATGACAGAGGAGAGGGAGGGCAGAACATCCAATGACAGCGGAGAGGGAGGGCTGAGGACCCAATGCTAGAGTAGTTCATGTTGATCTATACACTGAGTTTACAAAATGTTAGGACCACCTGCTCTCTCCGTGACAGTTAATTCACCAGATATCAATCAAATTAATATTAATATATCATAAAACAATATTAATACATGATAAAAATATATATTATATATGATAAAACAATATTAATATATGATACAAAATATTAATATATGATAAAATAATATTAATATATAAAATAAAATAAATATTCATATATGATAAAACAATTAATGAATCTCAGATAAAGACCTGTTTCAGTTTATCTGAGAAAATCTAGACCAGTACAGATAATGAATGTAAATAAAAAGAGAAATATCAGGAGAACATGTGATATAATTAGAGTTCTCTCTTTGTCATCATCCTCTTCTTCATCTTCTTCTCCTCCTCCTCTTCTTTCTTGGGAGACCCCTCTTTCTCCTTGTTGAAGACCTTCCCATCGGGCTGCTTTTTCCATGTCAGTTTGGTGTCTGCAGGTAACCCCTGCTCCTTCAGCTTGTTCCTTATCTGGAGAAACACGCACAAACACACACACACACACACACACACACACACACACACACACACACACACACACACACACACACACACACACACACACACACACACACACACACACACACACACACACACACACACACACACACACAGAGACAGACAGATAGAGACTATATTATTCTGTAATAGTCTTTCTGAAGATCTACAACTACCATTCCTTCCTGCTATACTGACACGTTCTTGACTTCAATCCTTTGACTCTATGGGGAGATGATGCTTATATATGTCCTATTTAACACATGTACACGTGTCTTTTAATATGCATGTGTGAATTGGAAATGTGTTTTTTGAATATCCCACTCTCCCTGAAACACCCTCGGAGAGTGGGGTCACTGCCAGGAGAGAAGGGTATCTACAACAGACTAGGACCCAGACCAGAGAGGAGGTCATCCACAACAGACTAGGACCCAGACCAGAGGAGATGATCCACAACAGACTAGGACCGAGACCAGAGAGGGGGTCATCCACAACAGACTAGGACCCAGACCAGAGGAGATGATCCACAACAGACTAGGACCCAGACCAGAGGAGATGATCCACAACAGACTAGGACCCAGACCAGAGAGGAGGTCATCCACAACAGACTAGGACCCAGACCAGAGAGGAGCTCATCCACAACAGACTAGGACCCGACCAGAGAGGAGGTCATCCACAACAGACTAGGACCCAGACCAGAGAAGGAGGTCATCCACAACAGACTAGGACCCAGACCAGGGAGGAGGTCATCCACAACAGACTAGGACCCAGACCAGGGAGGAGGTCATCCACAACAGACTAGGACCCAGACCAGAGAGGAGGTCATCCACAACAGACTAGGACCCAGACCAGAGAGGAGGTCATCCACAACAGACTAGGACCCAGACCAGAGAGGAGGTAATCCACAACAGACTAGGACCCAGACCAGGGAGGAGGTCATCCACAACAGACTAGGACCCAGACCAGAGAGGAGGTCATCCACAACAGACTAGGACCCAGACCAGAGGAGATGATCCACAACAGACTAGGGCCGAGACCAGAGAGGAGGTCATCCACAACAGACTAGGACCCAGACCAGAGGAGATGATCCACAACAGACTAGGACCCAGACCAGAGGAGATGATCCATAACAGACTAAGACCCAGACCAGAGAGGAGGTCATCCACAACAGACTAGGACCCAGACCAGGAGAAGAGGTCTGTAATGTTTGTATCATTACTGAGTTGGTTCTTCAAGAGCAGGGTGAAACTCACCTCTTGTAAGATTTCGTCCTGAAAAGAAGGATCGCTGAGGTTCAGATTTTGATCCTTTGGAGTCATCTTCACTCTCACCACCTGTCTCTTCAGTTGAGGTTTTTCAGGGGTCGGAGAGTCATTATTGCATTTGGTCGGGGTGGCAGTCGTTGTTGTGGATGTGGTCGGGGTGCAGTCGTTGTTGTGGATGTGGTCGGGGTGGCAGTCGTTGTTGTGGATGTGGTCGGGGTGGCAGTAGTGGTTGTGGGTGTGGTCGGGGTGGTAGTCGTTGTTGTGGATGTGGTCGGGGTCGGGGTGGCAGTAGTGGTTGTGGGTGTGGTCGGGGTGGCAGTCGTTGTTGTGGGTGTGGTCGGGGTGCAGTCGTGGTTGTGGGTGTGGTCTGGGTGGCAGTCGTTGTTTTGGATGTGGTCGGGGTGGCAGTAGTGGTTGTGGGTGTGGTCGGGGTGGCAGTCGTTGTTGTGGATGTGGTCGGGGTCGGGGTGGCAGTAGTGGTTGTAGGTGTGGTCTGGGTGGCAGTCATTGTTGTGGGTGTGGTCGGGGTCGGGGTGGCAGTATTGGTTGTGGGTGTGGTCGAGGTAGCAGTCGTGGTCATTATTTTGGGTGTGGGTGTGGTCGGTGGGGAAGTCGTGGTTGTGGGTGTGGTCGGTGGGGAAGTCATGGTTGTGGGTGTGGTCGGTGGGGAAGTCTTGGTTGTGGTCGGTGGGGAAGTCGTGGTTTGTGGTGTGGTCGGTGGGTAGTCGTGGTTGTGGGTGTGGTCGGTGGGGAAGTCGTGGTTGTGGGTGTGGTCGGTGGGGAAGTCGTGGTTGTGGGTGTGGTCGGTGGAGAAGTCGTGGTTGTGGGTGTGGTCGGTGGGGATGTCGTGGTTGTTGGATGTGGGCAGGGGGAAGTCGTGGTTGTGGGTGAGTCGGTGGGAGTCGTGGTTGTGGGTGTGGTCGGTGGGGAAGTCGTGGTTGTGGTGTGGTCGTGGGGAAGTCGTGGTTTGCGGTGTGGTCGGTGGGGAAGTCGTGGTTGTGGTGTGGTCGTGGGGAAGTCGTGGTTGTGGGTGTGGTCGGTGGGGAAGTCGTGGTTGGCGGTGTGGTCGGTGGGGACGTCGTGGTTGTGGGGTGTGGTCGTGGGGGAAGTCGTGGTTGTGGGTGTGGTCGGTGGGGAAGTCGTGGTTGGTGGGTGTGGTCGGTGGGGTAAGTCGTGGTTGTGGGTGTGGGTCGGTGGGGAATTGTGGTTGTGGGGTGTGGTCGTGGGGAAGTCGTGGTTGTGGGTGTGGTCGGTGGGGAAGTCGTTGTTGTTGGTGTGGTCGGTGGGGAAGTCGTGGTTGTGGATGTGGGCAGGGGGGCAGTGTGGTCTCCACAAGCTGGGCCGTAGAAGAGAATAAATCTCACAGTGACAGTAGTGAATCATGGGGGCAACATTAGAGTTCTCCTGTCATCCTAATATCAGGTAGATCAGGTGGAGAATATGGTAACTTACTATAGCATATGAAAGGAAGGGTAGGCACAGGGCTTATTTATTAATTTAGTTTGATCAGATAAGGATATAAACGAAATAATGACTCTCCGACCACTGAAAAACATCAACTGAAGAGACAGGTGGTGAGAGTGAAGATGACTCCAAACGATCAAAATCTGAACCTCAGCGATCCTGCTGTTCAGGACGAAATCTTACAAGAGGTGAGTTTCACCCTGTTCATTAAGAACCAACTCAATAGTGATACAAACTGTACAGACCTTCTTCCCAATTTTTTTTTAAAAAAGGGGGGTTTTTGGGCAACGGGGGGGGGGGGGGGGCGGGGGGGGGGGAAAACGGGGGGGCAACCCCCCTTTTTTTCGGGGGGGGTTTTTTGGGGGGTTTCAACTTTTTGGGGCCCCCCGGGGGGTTTTGTGGGGGGCTGGGGGGGGCCCCGGGGGGGGGGGGTTTTGGGGGGGGGGGGCCCCTTTTGGGGGGGGGCCCCCCTTTTTTTTGGGGGGCTTTTTGGGGGGGCGGGGGGTCGGGTTGGGGGTTGTTGGGGAATCGTGGGGGGGGGGGGGCCCCGGGGGGGGGGGGGGGGGGGGGGGGGGGGGAACGGGGTTTTGGGGGGGCGGTGGGAACGGGGGGCCTTTGGGGGGGGGGGGGGGCCCTTTGGGCCCCCCCCCCAAAAAAAAACCCAGGCGGGGAAAAGGGGGCCTTTTTCCCGCCCCCCTTAAACAAAAACGGGTAGAAAGGCCCCCCAACAAAAAAAGAAGCCGCTTTTTTTTTTCGACCGAAAAAAAATTGCCTCCACCAAAAAAAACATCCTCCCTGGGGGGGGCTCCAAAGAAAAAACGACCCCCCGACCCCTTTTCAAAACCACGGGGTTTTTCACCCCCGTTCTTTAAAAAACCCCAAAATTAAACGGGGGAGCCCCCCCCCCCCCACGGGGAGGGCCCCCCCCGGTCCCCCCAACGGGGACCCCCGGGTCGGCCCACCCGGGGCCCCCCGGGGGCCCTAGGGGATACCCCCCCCCCCCCCCCAGGGGAACCCCCTTTTCCCCCCAGTCGGTTTAACCTCCCCGGGGGGCCAGCGGGGATACCCCCCCCCCCGGGCCAGCGGGGAGCCCCTCCCCCCCGGGCCCCCCCGGTTGGAACCCCCCCCCCCCCCAGGCCCCCCTCCCCCGGGGGGCCCCGGGGGGGAATTCCATTTTCCAAACAAAAACCCCCTTTTTTGGGGAAAAAAAGGGGGGCAAGCCAAAAACCACCCCCCGGGGGGGCCCGGGGGATTTTTTGGCCAGGAAGGGGGTTTACTTGGGGCACTAAAAAAGGGGAAAAGAAAACCCCGCACCAAAGAACCCCCGTTTTTTTTAAAACAATCCCCGCACTTTTGGGAAAACAAAAAAAAAAAAACCCTTTTACCACCCCCCCCCACCCCCCCCCCAAAAACCCCCACGGGGGTTTAACCCTCAAACCACCCCCCCCCCCTTTTCAAACCAAAATTCCCCAACTTTTTGGGGAACGGGGGCCCCCCAAATTTCCCAGTTAAAAATTTGGGGAAAACCCGGGAAAAAAAACCCCTTCCCCACAAAAAATTTTTTCCTTTTTTTTTCCCCCCCCCTTTTTTTAAAATCCAACCCCCCAAGCGGGAAAACGGAAAAAAAAAAATTTTAAAAAACAAAAAAATTTTTTAAAAAAAAAAAACCCAAAAAAAAAAAAGAACCATAACCACCAAACCTCAAAAAACCCACCCCCGGGGACACCCCCCCCAGCCCAGAAACCCCACCCCAACCCAAAAAGGGCAACCCGACGGCAAACCCAAAAAACGGCCCCACCCCAAACCCCACACCACCCAAAAGGCCCAGCCACCATAAACCCCCCGTTGCCCCGGAAAAAACTTTGAAAATTTTTTCACAGGTTTTTTCAACAAACCAGGGGGTTCCTTTTTTTTTTGGGGGGAAACCCAAAAGAATCAACCTTCTGCCCCTAAAATTTTAAAATAGTGTTTTATTTTTTTCCCCTTTTAATTTTTCGGCATTTTTTGGGGGGAAAGTAACCAAGCCCCGGGCCTTTTCATTTTCCCCCCAAAAATGGGGAAACCCCCCGTTTCCTCCCCCCCCCCAATTAAACCCCCGCCCCCCTTTTCCCCCCCAAACCAAATACTGAAAAACCCTTTTCCCCCCCCCCAACATGAACACCCCGCCCCACCCCCCCCAAAACCAAAAACCGTTTCCCCCCCACATAACTCGAAACCCCCCCCCCCCCCCCACACACTGCTCTGCACCCCGCCCCCGCACCACCCTAACAGAAAAACCTTTTTCCCGCCCACACCAACTACTAACCCCCCCTTTTTTCCCCCCAAAACCCAAAACTGCAACATTTCCCCCCCCCCCAACTAGAAAACAAAACCCCGTTTCCCCCCCCTAAACCCTCACGTCCCCAAAAAAAAATAAAGGGCCCAAAAAAAAATTTTTGGGTTTTTTTTTGTTTTTTTAAATTGTTATTTTCAAAACCAAAATTTAAAAGTGTTTTTTTGGGTTGTTGGGTTTTTGGATCTATGGTAAAAGCTTCATAAGCTGTTTATTTTGTGGTGTTTTGAATAACGTGCGAAGACACCTATTTGGTGAGAATCAAACATAGGCTACAAAATCTCTTCTAGCTCTTAAAGGGGCAGTAGCCTACCTTGGGTGTGCAATTTTGAATTAAAGCATGATTTATTCTGCAGTTATTCTGCAGTTATTCTAATGCTATTCATTCTGTTACTATTAACATGTACTGTACATTTTATTGCTATATTCTGATTACAATTATTATGTCTATATATAGTAGCTTCCAAAATGTAAGTAGGTATATCTAGCTGTCCGATAACACATTCTGATTGAATGGCTTGTCCTGCGCTTTGTAAAAACCCAGACTGCACTGAGTGAATGTTGGAAAAAGATCTTGGTTCCTTTCTAAACTCACTTTAAAGAGGACTGAGATCAGTTATTTTAAAGAGGACCATGTGTAAAAACACCTAACAGAATTTACGGCTCATAAATGTTAGAGTTTATTCATTATTTTGGCAATATTTGATTTTACTTGTACTAAATATAATATATATAAATAAAAACCTATACATAATAATTTAACTGATAAATTGCCATATGGTGGTAAATACACAAATGGCCAATACATAAGCTCATGTTTGTGACCAAATGGGCCCAATACGGACAGCCGATCCAAAGAGTTGGCTAATTTCAGGAACAGTGAAGGCTGTCTTCACCAGATACGGGCTGTCCACACTGGGCCACACTGGGCCACACTGGGCCACACTGGGACACACTGGGACACACTAGGACACACTGGGACACACTAGGACACACTGGGACACACTGGGCCACACTGGGACACACTGGGACACACTGGGCTAATGTCTTGGGGGCCAATGTGGAGCCGATTAGCAAGGACTCTTCAGCCCAAAGTGGGCATGTTTGCTGGGACAACCACACACTAAACTGACCTGAGATTAGCAGGGTGAGATACAAAAATGGTTCCATCTCTGTGAAATTCAAAGGTTATATGATTAAAATTAATACACAGAACTTTACAAAACTTTACAAATGCAAACTGTCTTTCTCCTTCTTTACTGATATGACGTGATAGGACAGGTGAAGATAGTGCACCCCACAAAGAGGATTATCACCTGTTCAGAGACATGAACAATCACTGATTGTTAGGTCAGGTTTTTAAAATATTGGAAGAGGGTAGGGGTGAAAAACCTCAACATAACATTTTCAGAGGGCCAACAAGGGTAAGAACACATGGTTGATTATTCTACACTGGAACCTTCCAAACTGCAACATGATTCCTATGGTCACACACTGCCTGACTTTGAACACAATGAAAACACAGTTAAAGGTTTTGAACATAAGACAGAGGATATTACAAAATTAGAGTTTGTGTTCGAAGAGTTTTGGAAATGTACCACTTACATCTGAAAAAATATTGGGGAAAAAACTATAAATACACTTCTCTACAATAAAATTGCTAGATTTTCAACATGATTATACAATATGGCCCAAAATGGCCTCACCTGTAATTTGAAGGTAACTCTGTCTTTCGTTCTCTCTCGCTCCGTCTCTCCAGATTTGCCCTATAAACCTTACAACTGTTCCTAATTTCCTTGAATGTGTTATTTATCAACAAAAACAACTGTGCACGTGACATTCATCCCACTGGAAAAGGGGTTGGACAGAACCAGAGAAGGAAACAGTTAGAGAGGCTATACAGAACATTTGCATGTGATGGTGCTCTTGATCCATAGGAGATAACCCAGTCCTCTAGACAGACATATTGCCCAGAAATGGCCTCACTGTACAGAAAAGGACCTACATCCTCACGTCTAAAAACTTAGGGTTGTGTGGTGTTAAGTATTGTTCAGGTGAGTGAGGCCTGAATTGAGAGTAACACTCCCAGGTAAAGCCACTTGACTGGAACAGGACTAGAGGTAAACCACAGAGACAGGCAGGAACCCAGAGGCCCTGGTCTCAGCTCCCTGACCAGCACTGCTCCCCTATACCAGCAGTAAATATCATATCCCAGCAGTAAATATCCTAACCCAACAGTAAATATCACAACCCAGCAGTAAATATCATAGCCCAGCAGTAAATATCATAACCCAGCGGTATATATCATAACCCAGCAGTAAATATCATAACCCAGCAGTAAATATCATAACCCAGCAGTAAACATCATAACCCAGCAATAACTATCCTAACCCAACAGTAAATATCACAACCCAGCAGAAAATATCCTAACCCAGCAGTAAAAATCATAACCCAGCAGTAAATATCCTAACCAAGCAGTAAAGGTCATAACCCAGCAGTAAATATCATAACCCAGCAGTAAATATCCTAACCCAGCAGTAAACATCCTAACGCAACAGTAAATATCATAACCCAGCAGTAAATATCATAACCCAGCAGTAAATATCCTAACCCAGCAGTAAACATCCTAACGCAACAGTAAATATCCTAACCCAACAGTAAATACCATAACCCAGCAGTAAACATCATAACCCAGCAGTCCAATTTGTGAGTCGCTCTGGATAAGAGCGTCTGCTAAATGATGTAAATGTAATGTAAATGTAAATGTAAATATCCTAACCCAACAGTAAATATCACAACCTAGCAGTAAATATCATAGCCCAGCTGTAAAAATCATAACCCAGCGGTAAATATCATAACCCAGCAGTAAATATCATAATCCAGCATTAAATATCATAACCCAACAGTAAACATCATAACCAAGCAGTAAATATCCTAACCCAGCAGTAAAGGTCATAACCCAGCAGTAAATATCCTAACCCAGCAGTAAACATCATAACCCAGCAGTAAATATCATAACCCAGCAGTAAATATCCTAACCCAGCAGTAAACATCATAACCCAGCAGTAAATATCATAACCCAGCAGTAAAGGTCATAACCCAGCAGTAAATATCATAACCCAGCACCCCTGACTAGCACTACTCCCCATGTATTTGCAGTAAATGACATTCACCCACTGCATCTGTACTGATGAAATATGCTCAGTCTCTCCATCCCCTCTCTCTCTCTCTCCCTCTCTGCCTTTCTCATCTGGTCCCTCTGTTTTTGGTCCCTCTTTATTTAGGTCATTCTCCTTGTCTTTCACTCTCTCTTCATCTTTCTCTCTCTCAGTGTTCTCCCTCTCTTTTGTTCTTCCTCTCCATCTCTCTCAGAAAGACATGGCATCTTTCTGTCACGTTGCCCGTGTTTGTTTCTGTCACTTTAATAGTGCTACACCCTTTCACCTTTTTTCAGTCCAATTCTGTGTGTGTGTGTGTGTTTGTTTAACTGTCCTTGTGGGTACCGGAAGTCCTCACAAGGATTGTTAAACAAGGACATTTTTGCCAGTCCCCACGTGGAAAAATTATATTTTAGGCTTATGGGTTAGGTGTAGGGTTAGGGTTACAATTAGGTTAGGGTTAGAATTAAGGTTAGGGTTAGGGGTTATGTTGCTGGACCCCAGGAAGAGTAGAAGCAGCTAGAAAGGATCCTTCATAAATACAAATAAATACAAATACGGTTAGGAGTTAGGTATAGTTTAAGGGTTAGAGGTTTGGGGTTAAGGTTAGGAATAGGGTTAAGGTTAGGGTTATGGTTAGATTTAGGGTTAGGGAAAATAGGACTTTGGATGGGAATCAATTCTTTGCTCCCCACAAGCATAGCAATACAAAACTCTCTTTCTGTGTGTGTGTGTGTCTTTTTCTTTAATAATAAATAGCCTGTAAATAGACCTATGGAGGTCATGACCCCGATACTCTATCTATACCGTATCTATGCTGTTGATGTTGTTGTTGTTGTTGTTAGGTAAACAGTCCCTTTTCACATTTAGTGGTGAGCATCGCTGTCCGTGATGTACAATAGGGCCTTTCTGTTACCATGATCACTTACATTGAGGCCAAATTAGTTTGCATAAAGATAGTGAAGGAACATACAGCATATGGAGAGAGAGAGAGAGAAGAGAGAGAGAGAGAGTAGAGGAGATAGATAGAGAGAGAAGAGATAAAGATATAATGAGAGCGAGAGAATAGAGAGAGAGGAGAGAGAGAGCCTCTCCTCTCTCTCTCTCTCTCTCTGCTCTCCCCCTCTCCTCCCTCTCTCTCCCTCTCTCATCCTCTCACTCTCGCTCTCTCTCTCCATCTCTCTCTCTCTCCTTTGCTCTCTCTCGCTCTCTCGCTCTCTCTCGTACTGCTCTTCTCTGCTCTCCCTCCCCTCTCGCGTCGCTCGCTCGCTCCCGCTGCTCCCCGCTCTCCGCCCTCCGCATCGCGAGAAAGAGCTGAGAGCAGCGATAGCGCGTTCTGCTACTTTCTAATGTTCAATTCCCTACTGTAAAAAACGACTACCTTGTAAACCCATGAGTATGAATGCTATTTCACACAGCATCGTAGTCCCCATCATCGCAGCCCTTTGTTTTTTGATTTTTACAGGTCTGTTTGCTGGAAACATCGGGAGGTTTGTGAGGCAGGGTAGGAGTGAGATGAGGGGCATCGTTCTCATGGGGTCAATGCGTTAGGATGAGCCATAAATCACCCTAAATGAATGCACTATTGTCAATTGATTGGTATTCCCTAGTGGCTTTTAGAGGTCCGCTTTGTTGGTTGACCTGGACTGAGAGCAGGAAATGAACATGCACCCAAAGGAACATAAAAACAGGCACAGACGCAATACCAATCAGACCAGCCACATAACACTGGATGTGTAATGCACACAACACACAATGTAACAGATGCAAACACAGTCCACTCACTCACTCACTCACTCATGCAGGCCACACACACCAGTAGTAGCTTGGTAACCTGCATGTATCTGACAAGACTCTGTTATGTTGGTCGCATTGGTTAGTTGTTATGCAATGTATCTGACAATACTCTGTTATGTTTAGTGGTTTATGCATGTATCTGACAATACACTGTTATGTTAGTGGTTATGCATGTATCTGACAATACTCTGTTATGTTAGTGGTTATGCATGTTATCTGACCATACACTGTTATGTTAGTGGTTATGCATGTAATCTGACCATACTCTGTTATGTTAGTGGTTATGTATGTATCTGAACCATACTCCGTTATTTAGTGGTTATGCATGTATCTGACCATACTCTGTTATGTTAGTGGTTATGCATGTATCTGACCATACTCTGTTATGTTAGTGGTTATGTATGTATCTGACCATACTCCGTTATGTTAGTGGTTATGCATGTATCTGACAATACCACGGTTTTATCAGATACAAATTAATTCAATTCTTGTGTTTTGTTCTCCATGTAGTTTTTGATGTCCCTCTAAATAGTTGCTCATAATTGGTCACCCAAAAGTGTTACAAATCATTTTTTTTAGTGTCCGTCCTTTTCAGGTTTAGTCAGCTTCAGCTGCTGTTTGAAGTCCTTACTTATTTATTTCATTAGTGACTGAAGAAACGTGTATTTTCCCATCCCTTTCCTGTTTGGGCAGCTGGTAGAGCACGGCTCTTGTAACGCCAAGGTAGTGGGTTCGATCCCCGGGACCACCCATACACAAAAAAAAAAAAAATGTATGCACGCATGACTGTAAGTCGCTTTGGATAAAAGCGTCTGCTAAATGGCATATTATTATTATTATACCTATTGAGGCCAGCCATATCTAGTGAGGGCAGCCATATCTAGTGAGGGGCAGCCGTATCTAGTGAGGGCAGCCATGTCTAGTGAGGGCAGCCATATCTAGTGAAGGCAGCCATATCTAGTGAGGGCAGCCATATCTATTAAGGCCAGCCGTATCTAGCGAGGGCAGCCATATCTAGTGAGGGCAGCCGTATCTAGTGAGGGCAGCCATGTCTAGTGAGGGCAGCCATATCTAGTGAGGGCAGCCGTATCTAGTGAGGGCAGCCATGTCTACTGAGGGCAGCCAGACCTAGCTTTGTGCGTGGGGGCATTGACATGCTGAAACAGACAGAACATGACTGGCGTCCCCAAACTGTTGTCACAAAGTTTGGAAGCACAGAATCATCTAGAATGGCTTGTATGCTGAAGCGTTAATATTTGGCCTTCATTGGAACTAAGTTACAGTTGGCACTATGCATTGGGGCAGGTAGCATTCTCCCTGGCATCCGCCAATCCCAGATTCGTCCGTCAGACTGCCAGATGGTGAAGCGTGATTCATCACTCCAGAGAACGCTTTTACACTGCTCCAGATCCAATGGCGGCGACCTTTACACACCACTCCAGCAGACGCTTGGCGTTGTGCACAGTGATCTTAGGCTTGTGTACGGCTGCTCGGCCATAGAAACCCATTGGTTATTGTGCTGACATTGCTTCCAGTGGCAGTTTGGAACTCCGTAGTGAGTGTTGCAATGGAGGAGAGACGATTTTTACGTGCTACGTGCTTCAGCACTCGGCGGTCCCGTTTTGTGAGCTTGTGTGGCCTACCACTGTACGGTTGAGCCATTGGCATCCTATGATGGTGTCATGTTGAAAGTCTTTGAGCTCTTCACTAATGCCATTCTACTGCCAATGTTTGTCTATGGAGATTGCATGGCTGTGTGCTTGATTTTACAGACCTGTCAGCAACGGGTGTGGCTGAAATAGCCAAATCCACTAATTTGAAGGGGTGTCCACATACTTATGAATATATAGTATAGATATATTATTTATCATATGTCACATGCTCTTATTTAAGTATTTTTACGTACTTCATCATTGGCAGGGTACAAGTTCAATAGGTTTTTACGTTACACAACAGAACAATGGAACGGCTCTCTCGGTAATGGTTGTATAAAAATTACTTGTGACTTTAGGTTCTATCTGAAAAAAGATTATTCATAATTGGCTTTAAAGTTCCGAATACTCTTTGGTTTGAATGTTGTCATCAATTTTTATCTTGTATAATTTTTTTACTCAACGACATGAATTTGGGTGTTTGCAACACGACCCCAAATATCTAATTCGCTATTAGCCCCTCCTCTACTTTATGAAGGCAGCCGGACTTGGTGTTGTCTTATACCTCTATGTTTGGGCTGGTGTGGGCCTAACACTGTGT